TGTCACTTATGTACTCGTTTTTCTTTTTCTGGTGTATATAAACCGTGCCTATATCAATCAATTACATCTCCGTGCGCCGGTTTTATTAAACTCGATTCCAGTAACACTTTGAGAATCATGACACCAATCTTTTGTTGCTAGTGCTATTTGTTTGAAAATTTGACATCTTATTAAGATTTTGATTCTTGTTTTACTGATTTAAATTTTAGCTGAATGTTTTACATAGTACCAAAGAAATAAAGGCAAATGTAATAAAGATGCGTACATTATTTTGGATTTTGCACGTGCGGCAAGAGACCGTATCAGCCTTCATATTAATCGTCCAAGTATTATTAATATGAAATACGAGGGTCATTCAAAAAATTCGTAGACTTTTGTCCTAACTTTTTTATTTAACGTCATATTATATCCAAATTTGGTACAAATATTTTAACAACAGATTCAAATAATTTGAGTAAAAAAATTGGAATGTTTCCTCATATTTATTAAAATTACCAAGGATTTAGAACAGCAAAAATTGGGTCACGGAGCACCGTCAAAATTGAGTACTTTTCTAATTTTTACTTTATAGTATTTACAGCTATACCTCTAATAAATGAATCTGAAACAAAGTAAAATTTACATGTTTAAATAAAGTATTGCTGTATTAATCAAAATGAAATCAGGTTATGTAATATCTCGTTCCATTTAAAAAATATCAGCTTCTAAATACATTTGGACTTGATTAAAAAAGGCAAAAAACCATGACGCTGGAGGACGTCACGGAGCAGCAAGAAGCAATAAAATTAGACTTTACATTCGGGAAACTTTTTCTACAAGCTTAAAAAATCCTTATAAATCAGGATCTGTATGAAAAAATCTGGGTACTTGTATTAAGTTGAAAATACAATTTTTGAGTGGTAGCGAGTTTGAATCGGACGATGGATTGTCCGCAAAGAAACAGGTTAAAGTTTAAAATATTGTCAAAAGAGTTAGGAACGTCATTGAACGTGATGTGTGCTTCAGTTTTGCAGATATAATAAAGTTGCATGGTAAATCAAAGAATTTGAAAACAATAATATTCTAATTCAAGCTATATTTGTACAATCGTTAGCAAATCAGGTGTTAAGTATTGTGGATATATGTTTTGAATGGAGAAGACGCAACAAACCGTGTTTGAAATACCAAAAATGTGTATACTTTTGACAAACTTTCTCAGCGTTGTTTTTGACGTTACAATATTGGTTAACTGTGCTCCGTGGTAACAAAAAATGTTGCTTTTGATTTTGGCTAACGTGAGTTCTGTTTAATCAAATGGAATGAAACTTCACACTTCGACAAAATAAATGTTTATGTTTACGAAAATGTGTTGATCTATAATCTTGTTATAATCATATGACGATGAGCAGCATTGTCTACGTATTTTTTGAATGACCCTCGTATATATATTCAAAAATTCACAATTTTAATGAACATTGAATATATTATGGTTAGCACTGGTTGCAGGTAAACAAAGTTTTAAACATTGTCTACGACTTTTTGGGACAGCCCTCGTACATGTATATCCATATAATACGGTTCTATAAAATGTTATATCATAGTTCTTAATTATAGACAAGTTATTTAATCGCCAGGATGACAACTTAAAGAAGATAGAAACTTTTACCATTTTAGATGATTACGTATTTTCTTTTTCTGAAGAAGCAAACTTTAAAAAGAGTTCATATTTAGCAATGGAAAAACTCTTTTTCATACAGCATTTTTGTAGCAATAACAATCACACGTAACAACAAAATTTTTGTGCACACAGCACAGATAGACTAGATAATAAAATAAGTGTCCAATAAGTGCAATTGTTGACTTCAGAAAATCGATTACGAAGTCAGCAGTAAATAAGATGTGCAATTGATCATTCCTTTTCCTATTAATTTTTCACTCATACGAGAATATTAATCTTCTATGCATTCATCTATATTATTACAGTTAAAAAAGAAAAAAACCTTATTCTTTTCTTATTTCCTAAAATATCCTCATATATCTTGAATATTTAATTTAAAATGCTTACATAAGTTAAAGAGGGCATTTAGCATTTCACTAATACATCTTATGCTTTTTTTCATTACAGTTTTTAAATAGATTAATATTTCTTATATGTGAGGAGTTAAAAGCTTGAGGAGAAGATGCTCCTCAAATATAAATATTTGAGTATCAAAATCAGTCTTCTCTTTTTACAATTCTAGATTGAACATCTTTTTTTAATGTACATATATCTCCTACGTATAACCATTCAAAACATCTTATTAGGGGAATAGGATGAGTGTTGGGGAGCAGATGAGTTATGGGAAGCAGATGTACTCTTGGGACAACCACTTTCAAAAGAAGAAGGGGAACGAAACACTCATGGTCACTATATTGAAAACTCTTACCTTTTAAAAGTTGCCTGCTGATTGAACATTTGCATTGGCGACTACATTGTTTGACAGGACGCCATCTGGCGCTCCAATAATAGAAGACAGAAAGAGGCCTGTATATACAAATAAAAAGTTCAAAATACACACATATCTTTGATTCCTTGTTGTGGCCCAACCCTACCTCTGGGATCATGGTATGACCCCCCCCCTCCCCTCCCCCGAATTTTCACTATGTAATGAAGTTGTCACCTTAGTATTTTCATTTTTGGCCCAAATGTTGTTTGAGAAGATGAATTTTGAATAATGCACTTTTTTTCTAATGATATAATTATTGAAAAAAAATATTCTCTGGGAAATCACAGTCACACAGTATTACGTGCAGTACCATAATCAAACTAGATCAAATGTAGAAGTCGGGCCAGGTTGTGTCTTAGAAGAAACCTTATTATGATACAATGACTTTTATGGAGATGGTTAACATTATGCAAGCTTAAAAATCCATTAAATAATACTGATCAGGGGCAGAGAAAACACGGACCTCCAACAGAAGTGGGATCAGATACCATGGAGTACATGACGGATTGACAGATCTAGTTTGGCTTTCAAAATGTAATTTGAGCGCACTGTTTGCATGAAATGAATAAAACTCTGTATATGAAAACGGATTTTGTCTTGCAGTTAATATGTAAAATTTTGATTTTTTTTTCGATGATTTTTAAAAAAAATATATCCACCTATATGAACAGGATACACTAGGCCCCACAAAGCAAGTCAGGTAAGCTTATGTACATCATGTATACAGGCAGGAAAATGCTCAAGAGAGATTATTTCAACACAGTTCTTGGGTTCGCCCTTACTTGTTTTGGACTAAAAAGTGTTCAACTTTCCAAGGGTATGGAAGTTGGCATTTTTGAAAAGAACTCCTGCACTGCCCAGGCTTTTGACCGACGATGTTGCTATCTATTTCACATAGATTCCATACAAGAAAGATTATCTGGATAGGTAGTGATTTTGGATCTCATGACATCAGATTTGCCATAGAAGACATACCCTTACTCTAGTCTGTGTCTCTTTCTTTGGCAATATAATGTTATTGATTAGATTATGAATGCCTTTAATTTCTATATTATTAGTAAAAAAGAATTTCTTGCAGTATTATGAACACTCTACCTCATTATTTATTCTGTTTGTTTGCTTACTTTGCTAATATTATGCTCTTGTCCATGCAATTATAACTCCATGGTGTAGCCTTTTTTGAATCCAATATGTATGATCGCTAATTACTCATGAGGACATTTATTACAGCTATAGAGAAATGAATCTTCAAACCTAATACATCCATCTTTTTAAAATTGCGATCCGGATGACGTTTAAGAGAATTATTCAAACCCCAGACTTTGGTTTACATTTTTTCTTTAATTTTGCATTTCACCTGATATTCAATTATAATTACAACGCTCCTCCAAATCAAATATAAATGATAACAAATTACTTAAAATTTTGTTACACCGTAGGGGAAATAAACATTTAATCCCTAACAACAAAAATGAATTCCCATTCGTATATCGAATTCAAAAACTTCATGAAAATCATTACATAGATATATAGGGATCCATTAAATATTCTTGTTCCAAGCGTCTTCCTAAGTGAGTAGTTATCATTTATATTGGATTTGAAATTGGAAAAAAATGAAGTAAAACCATATTTGAATTGCAACATAACACATTTGAAAAAAAAAAATAATGTTAAACACTGTGAGTGAAGTTTGAATAATTCTCTTTAACACAGAAGCGACTTAATTTGTGCCGTTTAAAGGAATGCATACATTTGGGGCCGAATTCATAAAACTTGGCAATATATTCTTAAGTTTAGAAAATCACTTAACCTCTCTCTCTCTCTCAACAGTCACGCATTTTAACGCAAATACAACTTTCTATTTCTAACACAAAATCATAAAAACAATTCTATGACGTGAGAATGAAGTGTATGCTGCACTAGAGTGCAGTGGGTTTTAAAGAGTTAAGCACTGTATTTTTTTACTAAGCTTCGGAAGTTTTACTCAAATTGGCCGAAATATCTAAGTGCAGTTCTAAGTATTGACCTAATGTTAAGTGTCCTCAAGAGGTTCTAATGTAGATACATGTAAGAAATATTTGAGTATTATTTATACCTTTTTGGTAGTAGGAATATAACTCATATTATCTGCATCATATAAAATATATTAGTACAGTGTTATATATTATACAAAATATAAATAATATACCATTTTAACATTTACCTCTGCATTAAATACAATATTAAATTAATTTCCAAATTGATTCAAAACTTAAATCTATCTTAAAGATCATATAAAATGTGATCTATGTATTATTATTTTTTTTATTTCTGTATCATATATTATTTTCCTTAATGAATTTCTAGTGATTTTCGTTTACGATCTTTTAAAATCGATCTATCAGGATAGTTAGCATATATTACGTAAGAACCAGCCAATCACATATCCGTTATAGCCTTAAATGTTAATGCATATATTTATACATGGTACTTTACAGATAATCTCGCATTTATTTTACAAGAACCTTGTAGCTGTTGTAACACACAGAAAACAATATGAGCAAGGTTATGGTTGTCTTTTTAATTGCTGGCTACTTCATAGTTCCTCATACTGCCATGTTTTCTCGGAGGTACATCAGGAACATGGACTTTGATGATAAAAAATCAGATGGCGAACTTTTAGGAGAGTATTCTTTATCGTTCAAAGACTGTGCAGAGAAGTGTCGGGGAGATTGTGGGGTCTTTGGGTATAATGATGGGTTGAAGAAATGTCGGCTCCACAGGAAACTCAACATGTCGTCAGCATCAGAAGAGACAGACTGGAGATATTTCCTCCATGAATGTAGGTATTACCTTGCTGTATTTAAAAAAAAAGATGATATACTGTGAAATCATAAATACCCCCCCCTCCCTTTTTTTAAACTTTACCTACGAATATAATTAATTTTACAAGTGTATGGGAATTAGAACAGTATTTAACCTCAGAAACAAATTGCATGTAAAAATATTGATCTTATTGGCACTGAATAGCTCATTACTTAAAGGATTCATCTGATATGTTCCTGAGAAAAAATAATAAGTATTATTTGATTAGTTGTTAGGAAGTAGTTTTTAAAGCCAAAGAAACAATAATAAGCATTTTATTGGTTTTAAGGAAAGTTTGAGTCTTCCAGAAAAAAAAAAAAACAATGACGGTCATTTGATTGGTTGTTTTGAAGTAGTTATTTCAAATACCATTTGAATGGTTGTTAGGAAGTGTTTTTTTTTTTTTTGGTCAGAGAACCAATAACCACGGACAGTTCCAGAATCTAACCGGTCGAACGTTAGTTTGTGAGTGCTAAATTAAACATGTAAAATGTTATACAGATTTTTTAAGGGAGATCACGCTAGGAGAATTAAATTTAACTGTAAAGAATTCTTCAAATGACTAATGAACACCATAATTTGATCAAATTTCAAATCATTAGAATAAAGACACAATAAATATAGATAACTAAATTCATGTTAAGTGCGAAAAGTTTATGCTTTTGCAGTAAAGAGCTTTTGATATGCTCTCTAGAACTGCGCATTTTTACAGTATTTCGAATATCAATAAAAATTATTGTACATTCAAAAAGATTAATCTATATACGCTACAATCAGATTTATAATAAATAAAACGCCAATTTTAATCCGGCAAAAGCACAAATCATTTGCATTCAATTCACGGTGCTAAATGGAACAGCTTTATTGCAGCATGGTCTTAATCGTTACTCTTTAAAGAATTGATCAGTCGTATTTTAGAGCTGCTAGTACGTATAGTAGATTAGAAATAAAATCCTTCTTGACGTTAACGATGATGAATGATGCATCGCCTCGGCTTTCATCTTTCAAACAACATTTCGAGACCGAGGAGGTTATTCTGCAACATTCACGAAAACGCAGACTTTATTTCTTAAATGATCTGTTTCGTTTTCCGTTTTAGTCACCCCAACTGATTGTAAGGATCTTCAGGAAAACAATTACACTAAAACAGGGGTGTACGACATATATCCGTATGGAATCAGCTTTATTCCTGTCCGGGTGTACTGTGACATGGACACAATGGACGGGGGATGGACGGTATGTAATATATTTCAAAATTAGCATAAAGTATTTCATTTGCACTTTGCTGTTTTGTTGTTATATTGAAGATATTTTTCACATGGTTACGTCAAAATGATGGAGGAAATCATTACTTTTCATTCGCTATTTATAGAACATATGCATGACTATAGGTGTGCCAAATTTCATTCTGATATGAATCTTGGTTTTGAAAATATAGAGATAGTTCACGAACTCTATGATCACCCTCGTACATGTACATGCTAACTTTTAAAGGCAATTCAAAAACGTGTCAATGGATTCCTCAGTTTTGACAAAGATTGGACGGCCTATAAAAATGGTTTTGGTGACCCTGAACAGGACCTCTGGGTTGGTAAGTATAAACCTCTTACATTAGATCTTTCAACCGCTGCAAAATTGAACGGTGATCTTTTTTGTGACAGATAAAAAATATCAAAGGGTATCAACGATACATATTATTTAAAGAAAGGAAAATATTTTTTTTGACCATATTCACTAATAACCTTTAATGGTTTAATGAACCAACAATTAGCATTAATTTCTATGTCTAACAAAATTTGATTTTGCATTTATTTACGAGGGCTGATCGGTTTATAAAGAACCATCAAAACAATTATGCAAAATTTACAATTTCCAGGAAAATTAGATAGGTTCTGGTGAAATTATACACATGTATATATCCGTCACAATGGAGCAACATCTCTACGATTATTTAACGTCACGTCATTCGAAGATGATTGCATATGATACGATTGGGAAGCGTTTACTCTTCTCTGTTTGTTATTATATTTAACATTACAAAAATCAACTGTCTTTTAATTTAAATGATTATTTTTAAAAATACGTGCTGTTATTACACCAGTGTTAAATAACCATGTGACATACCGGGTATATACAGGTTGCCTTAGAAGCATGCGGGGAAGTTTTATTCACTGCAAGTCAACTTTATTATTTCCGAAATTATTTATGATCCTCAGGATCATTTGATTTCAATCTTAGTTAGACAAAAGATATAAGCCAATGAAAAATCAAACCCATTTACGTTTTTCTTTGCTGTTTTTGCTTTAGCAAATTGCTCAGACTTGAAAGAGTTTAACACAGCGATACATAAAAATTAGGTACGCATGTAGTCCGGAATAGTTGACGTTTTCCAGGTTTTTTAACGATTTTGATATTTTTGTGCCAGGAAAAGTCAGAAGCGGCGCCATTACGAAAAACTGAAAATTTCAACCGAAGTTGATTTTAAATAGCGTATATACTCGCCTATAAGTCGGTATTTTGGGAGTTAAATATTGGTCTAGAACTCTATATCCGACTTATAGGCGAGTCATGAAGAGACAAGTATTTTTCTGTGGGCTAAAAGTTAGTATCTTATTTGCATTTCCGACGATTATCAAAGAAATTGTCTGGATATATAAGATAATTTATGCATTCTCAGATTATATAAAAAAAAGTGCAAGTATATACATATTTTAATAATTTTATTTGCATTTTAAGTGACATTGTCTTTATGTTTGATAATTTAAGATTAAATATCAGTGTCTTTTCGACAATTATTAATTGAAACCAGGGTTAAAATATCAATGGATTAACTTGAAATTGTCACCAGATTTTGGCAAAAAAGTTGTACCGACTTATAAGCGGGTCAATAGCAAATCCCACCAAAATAACGTCAAAAATTACAACCGACTTATAGGCGGACCGACTTATAGGCGAGTATATACGGTACTTGTGGACCGATATAAATCTGAAATCAGAATTTATCGATAGAACAATGTATGTATGTATAGTACCCACCAATATCAATAAAAAGAAAATATCATCCCACATTTCGTTTCAGGACTTGCAAGAATTAAAGAATTAAAAATGCACGAAATGTTAACAAATTTCATCACGTTGATAAAATGTTTTCAACGGATTGTTTATTTCAAAAATGAACCATAGAAATGATATTGGCAAGTACTCAAAGTATTGTGCTATTTATAACTTGTACATATGACATTGAAATTTAATTCGGTTTGCAAGTATCTAAAATAAACTCGAGAATGCCGTCTCTAGTTGGAGGCGGCAATTTCCCAGTTTTCGTAATGGCGCCGGTTCTGACGATTTCCTGGCACGTAAAATATTAAAATCCTTAAAATGCATAGAAAACGTCAGATATTTCGAACTAGCACACTTGCTGCTCCACCTTGACCTCAAAATTTGTTTTGTCGTCATTATCAAATTTCTTAACCGCGATTTATTTTCTTAAATTACCTTTGTATTTCTTATCAAAGTTCTTGCACAATATGAAGTTATTTCGCTCTTATTATGGGTTCACAGGAAGGTTCAACGTTGTTGTTACATGTATTCAATATTTGATTTCGTGACTGCGCCGGGTATCCATACCATTGTCACATTTATATACTACTAAAGAGGAGAAAATTAATATTTGTAAAATATTTCTTGCTTTTATGAAATCGTAATGTTTGTCAAAAGTAATAATTTCCAAACAGCCCTCGTATATAAGATTGATAAATTCAGTGTATTGCAATAAATTATACAATTGATTCCATGCAGGAAATGACGTTATCCATCAATTAACAAAAGAAAAATCTGTCCTATATGTGTCCATTACTCTAGAAGGTGGTGAAACACACTATGAAATGTACGACAGATTTTCTGTCTCCGACGAAGAAGGGAAATATCAACTGTTTCTTGCAGGACCTGCCACAGGAACATAAGGTAAGTGTATTTCAACTAAGATCTTAAAAGAAAGGGTTCAAATCAAGTATATCATAAAACTCTTCTTTGCACAGAAAGTCAAAATATCAAATAGTTGAGAAAGAAAAATCTTTTTTTTTCTAATATTCCGTAAACATCTTCAATTTCACGTTTAAATATTTCATGAATTCTGTTGTAATTGAATTTCACAATGCTTTGAAGTTTGAAAAATTAAATTATTATACTGTATATTTAAAAACCAAACTATCTTTGCATATCCAGTTACTACCTTTTACCCACCATTAATTATTCAACCTAAGTTTCTTACCGATATTTAACAGTTCATATTCTAAACCGATACGAAACAGGATATTAAGGGCGCATAATTGCTATTTTATGCAGACATGTACAAGAAAGCTTGATGTTCAAGTAAAAAGAAAGAGACAGAGTATCTTAATGAATTAAATTTCTTTAATACTTTCTATATCCAATAAACAATTGCATATGTTATAACATTTACAGGTCATTTCCTATCTATTTTTTTTTCATTTTGATAGATTTAAGATGGCACCTGATCCAACCTCTGATGTTTCGGAGGTCCGTGTTTGCTCTGCTTTTATCTTGTATTGTTTTATGGGCTTTGATATTAAACCCATAAAACAATACAAGATAAAAGCAGAGCAAACACAGACCTCCGAAACATCAGAGGTTGGATCAGGTGCCATCTTAAATCAATCAAAATTAAAAATAGATTGAAAATGACCTGTAAATGTTATAAAATATGCAATTGTTTATTGTAATTGTTTACTGTTCGTTATATCCATATCCTTCTTTCTTTGTATTGCATTTTATACATTTTAAGCAAAGTCTTTAACTAATATTGATTTTTCATATTTAAACTTATAGAATATTTCCGTGTCCAATAATTATTTTCATTCTACACTAAAAGTGTAACACACCTGTGGTATATGTTACAAAATATTGCTGTATGAATAGCTATATTGTATGGGGTTTTTTTTGTTTAAATATTATCTCCATTTACAGGAGACAGCATGAGAAGCTGTTTTTCTTAGACGTACTTCAATGTTAAGATCAAACTTGATTAAATTGTGTACCCATTGTCTCTGTGATCTATTTTATCTTACTGTACAGGTGACTCTATGTTAGACACAGGTTATCCTAAGGAATATCTGTCTGGGATGTACTTTAGTACCCCGGACAGGGATAACGACTTGTCTAGAATTAACTGTGCTGCTCGCAGTGAGATAAGGGGAGGATGGTGGTTTAATGCCTGCCACTACGCCTTCCTTAACGGTCCGTGGTCCCCGGCCAACTGGGGATATCCTTGGTGGCCCCCTTTAAAGAGTGGATCATCAATAAGGCGGACAGTCATGATGATAAAACGCCACTAGGTAAATATCACTAAATCTGATTAAATTGTATATTGATCTTCTTTGTATAATTAGCACAGTGAGTGTGACCGTTCGGCAGGGGATGTTCACTCCTCCATGGCAAGTGATCCCATCTCTGATGTTTTGGAGTTCCGACTTTCCTCTGCTCCTGTTCTGTATTGTTGTATGGACTTTTGATCTTGAATACCGTTCTCCATTTGTTTTCATCATAAGAGAGCTTAGGATTATTATAATAAAGATACGCCATTAAATTTCTGTTTTTTTTCAGTAAATGAATGTTTTAAGATATAGAAGCAAGAGATTGACTACAACAAAGAAATCAGACGAGCCATACCTGATAAAAGAAACAATCGTAAATCTATGTCGATCATGGGGTTCAATTCATTTTTTAAAATGATGTTTCATATTACGGGAGGAAAACTTACAAAGGACTATACTTTGAGAATATTTGTGGTTGAACAATTTACAGCAGCAATAAATGTTAATCATTTTTTTACGAATATACCCAGTAAAAGCTGTACATTATATGTGTTGTAATAAATTTGGAAATAGAAACATTTTGTTCTTATTTAACACTGGCACATAAGGATGCCTGCATGGATAATTAGAATGAAGGTTGTACTACAATATTATTATAAACCATTTTACAGCGGAAACACTTTTCTCCGACACGCATACAATTACTTTCACTGTAAATTCAGAGATTGAATTCCATATTAATGCCCCTGTGCAATCCTACGTAATGTTCATTTGTCTCCTAGTGCATGTTAGAAAATACAGATTTCATTATAATTTAAGATATCTAATATACATGTTGATATTAACATGATTGAGCAATAAATCCTGCGATGGAAGTTGTTGCTCCATTTAAATTTGTAGATAAAACTGAAGCTTAATCCTTGACTTCAAACGTATTTCATAAGTCTTTCCACAAAATAAATTGTACCAGTCGTATACAGAAATAGTTTAACTGTGAATGATGCAAGATTCATGCACCTGACAGATCTTTGATTCCGAGAGCAAAAACAAACACAATAAAACTTGAGGTTAAGCTTTAATTTCTAAGTATTGTGCATGTAAGGTTGGAGTGTAAGTTTCCCATGAAGCCGTGTGAAGATAACTTGACGTTACAGTACTTTGAGTTTTCTTGCAAGAAAAAGAGGTAAAATTGAAACATATGATATAAATCAATTAATGAAAAAAAAGCAAAAAAAAGTTTTTAACTATTATCACAAATCAATAAAAGAAATACAAACTTTATTGTAAAAATAGGCCTATAACTTATGTTGAGTTTTCATACAAATCCATTCAGAGCGATAAGTGGAAATGTTCAGAGATATATTCAATAGAACCTTGGGCACTCAACCTTTAATAAATTTAGATACATAACAATTTCTACTGATTGTGAGAAAACTTGCGATAAATGGATTTTTACACCTCTTTCTGGTTTAAGTTTAAATTGTTTAGGCTTTTTAATTTCGCTGAGCAAATGTTTTACTTCAAGAATCGTAATTTTACAATTGGTTTTTCATTCTATTACTTTGAAAAATACCATTGCCTTCTATTTTAAGTGAAAATTGTTACTAGCAATTGCTGATTTAATATCAATGCATCTTTTGTGGCCATGGCCTTCTTTTAATCAAATATTTATGAAAACTTCTCTTGAGAGCATTTGCTTTATTTGCATAATTAGATTTCTTTTTGAATTTTACAGCGATATTAATAAAACAGTATTGAAATACGGTTGACGTAATAAAGTAAACTTCATATTCAAAACTTAATTTAACGATAAATTCTCAATATTGTAATTTAATCGATTCCTGTCATAAGATTATTGTCAAATTGCCTAAAATCATCTTTTATTAATGACAACTAATTACTCCTCTATACGAGGGTTGTCCCGTAAAATCGTGGACAAAGCGTTTTTCTCAAAAAGTAATGGGCGCACTAAGCTGAAATTTTCAGTAAATGTTTATTTATCATATTTAACTGCATGATAATTTTTTGATAAGATATGGCAAAAATAAAGATTTTAGTAACCTTCAATGTGCACGAGGTATTGCCCTACGGCGCACGGTCAAAAAACCAAGGTTTTATTAAAGAATACACAAGCTTGAATTCAAAATAAAAGTTTTAAATACATAAGATTTGGATTAAAATTATCCTAATTCAAATCCACAATCAATTTTGTAGTCTTTGTAAAAATTTTAAGGCATTTGCTTAATTTTTGGCAGTTTCTTGAGCATTCAAAATGGGAAAGTGGTAAACACAACACACGAAAAATGGCGACGTTTTATGACGTTACGGCGCACCGGAGAACAGTTCAGTTTGATTCCGATGTTGTAATGACACCTTTGGAGACTTGAAATAACCATAGAAGAAAAAAGATTATAAAAATATCACCATATCTTAAGTATACAAATGAAATAGGAGTTTTCTTAGCGAAGTTTTTTTGATCGAGTCCCAGGGGAGAACAAAACATACGGACAAACTCCTAAGCATATATTTATCTGAAATTTGCTGTGTATATTACTAAAATATGTACTAAATAATAGTGAAAATTTCAGGACGCAGTGATGTTTATTTTTCACACTAAACAATTTGTCCACGAATTTACGGGACAACCCTCGTACATCTGTTATCCGTAGGAGTAATTAATATGTACTTTAGAAGACATTGTCATGTTCATTTATCCTTTTGTGTTAAATAAATCAGGAATGAAAAAAATATAGATAGATTACACGATTTGTTTGTAATAGTCCGGGCTGACAAATCAGGTAATGATACTGTTTTTGTTTGTAAGCCTGGTCATTCTACATGTATTTTTGTAGAATATGGATTTGATTCTACAAGAGGAAAACAATTTAAACACATTGCTCCAGAAAATCTTGAAAATAAATTGTCTGTTTTGTATATTTTTTAATTCCCAACGACTTTTATGCATTCGATTCACTGAATCTATAATCTATTTAAAAACTACATATAAATTCTAATAAACAAGAAAATATGAGAAATGAATATAAAAGCAGTTACACATTATATTTCGAAAGGTGAAGCCTCATATTTGAAACGGTCTGTGCAACTACACTTTCAATAGGTACTAGCAAATGTTTGCAAAAGCCGTTGCAATTGTGAGAATATATCTTTTAAACAAAAATGATTCAATGCTGAGGTGATGACAAACACATTGATAAATGTATTACGACAATTAATTCTCTATTAAGGGGTGTATGAATTATGACACACGTTTCCAAATAAAAATTATATACTGTATATTGTTGCTTCTAGGCACTGGTGCCCCTGTATTGCAGCTAACGGTGAAAGCTATCGTTTGCAAATCAATTATCAAGGCAATGATCATCTTGGGTACCTAAAAAAGGTCTAATCACAATGAGTTTACCTGGAAGGAAGATAATTATAAAATCATCGATATTTCAGAAATTATGACCAAAAATGTTCAATAGTTGGTCAACCTGCTGAAGATCAAGGACCAATTTATTATACTTTAAGGAATTTCACCAAGAATATACATGTTGTGTTAATTTTCCCATTTCTGTAGGATCATAATAGATAATTTAGATTGTTTAGAATGAGATATACATACCAAAAAAAGGAAATTTCTCTACAAATTCCTTGAATTAAAAAGTAGTCTCGTAGATGTTTTTCTGACGATCATGGGAATTATTAAGTTTTATGCATATAATAAAAATATATCACCAACAGTAAAACATTTACTGTAGCATCTTAAAAATTCTGAGAATTTTTAGAAAAATATTCATAAAAACTGTCAGAATCAGACTTTTGTGATAGACAGTTCCTTTTTATTTATGCAGAATAGATTTATTTGTAAGATAAATCAATATTTAGAATACCTGGTCTCCAAAAACCGCAAAGATATTGTCAATCAAAAACTAAAGCATCTTTGTGATGTCAACTTCAGTGTACTTCTGTGTCTATATACTGACTCCTTGGGGTACAAGGTTACTAGGAAATGTTAGAATCCTGTGTCTAGTTACTGACTCCTTGTGAAATATGGTTATTAGGAAAAGTAAGCATCCTGTGTCTAAATACTGACTCCTAGTGGTATCAGATAACTAGGAGAATTAAGCATCCTCTGTCTAGATACAGACTACATGTGGTATCAGGTTTCTCGGAAGTGAAAGAACCCTTTATCTATATACTGATTCCTTGCGGTATCATTTTACTAGTTGAAGTAAACAGTCTTTGTCTAGATACAAACTCCTTGTGGAATCAGGTTACTAGAGGCAGTAAGAATCCTCTGTCTACATATTGACTCCTTGTAATATTAGGTTACTAGGAGAAGTAAGAATCCTCAGTCTAGATACTGACTCTTTGTGGTATCAGGTTACTAGGAAAAGTAAGCATCCTCCACCTAAAACTCCTTGTTATATTGGGTAACTAGAAGATTAAGAATCTTCTGGCTAGATACTGAATCTTTATGGTATCAGGTTCCTAGATGTGAGAATCCTCAGTCTAGATACTGACTTCTTGTGATATCAGGTTACTAGGAGAAGAAAGTATTCTCTGTCTAGATACTGACTCCCTGTAATATCAGGTTAGTAGGAGAAGTAAGAATCTTCTGTCTAGATACTGACTCCTTGTGATATCAGTTACTAGGAGAAGAAAGCATTCTCTGTCTAAATACTGACTCCCTGTAATATCAGGTTAGTAGGAGAAGTAAGCATTCTCTGTCTAGATACTGACTCCCTGTAATATCAGGTTAGTAGGAGAAGTAAGCATCCTCTGTCTAGATACTGACTCCCTGTAATATCAGGTTAGTAGGAGAAGTAAGAATCTTCTGTCTAGATACGGACTCATAGTGGTATCAGGTTACTGGGAGTTTATAACGTAAGAATCTTCTATCCAGGAACTCTTTCATTGTGGTATTGGGTTAGTAGAAGTAAGCACTCTCTACCCTGACATAACACCTTCCTGAACGGTCCATGGTCCCCTACTGAGTGGCACAAACCTTTTTTTTC